TCAGGTGCTTCTCAAGAAATAGTGATAACAAGAAATGTTTACAGACATAGGTTTGAAGGATATAAGGCGATTTGGATAGCCCACCATCTAATCATGGGCTAATTAAAGAGCATGTAGAGCTGACTTGTTGATTTCGTTTATTTCAACATGTTGTCTAACTACTGACAGCCATCAATGAAGATGAAACCTGAAAGTAGAATCAATGGTGTAAAAAAAAACAGATCAACCAACCCTCCAACAATGTAAGAGAAGATCACAGGACCTGTACAAAGGAAAGATTGCTTTGGTTTATCAAGACTTTAGGACCATCATGTTTATTTAACGTGGAAATAGAAAAGCCTATCCACGAATTTGTCAAATTGATAAGTTTTCTGATCTGCTGTTTTTCTGACACAAGAGAATGTGTTTGTGATCAGTCCACACATAATGTGTAAGGTAGATTAGAGAATCAAAGACACAAAATGTTTGCCTTTTGAATCTTGGGCATGGTGTGTTTAACAGATACTTGCCAAGGGTCAAATGGCGGGCTATTTACCGGTGATTTGAGGTGAAAACAGAGTCATTTCCCCACCAATAACAGAATCATTTACAAGCAGAACAGAAATGAAAGACTTTAAGTTCTTTTGAAGCTTTGAATGGGGGGAATATGTTGTCTGTGTATGTTACAAGTATTGATTGTTATAGGATATTATACCTATCAGGTCACTACTGGTTAAATTTCTGGTCACTATTATTAACTGTAAACCCATCTACAAACTACAACCTAATTAACTACTACAGTTACAATAAGCTAATTATACTAGTTAGTTTAAATAACTAACAATCACGACAAATTACAATACACTAATCAACAACCAGAGTCACTAAAATTAGCTGTTACAATCACTATCACTAATTAACTACCACAGCCACTATCACTAATTAACTACCACAGTCACTATCACTAATTAACTACCACAGTCACTATCACTAATTCACTACCACAGTCTCTATAACTATTTCACTACCACAGTCTCTATAACTATTTAACTACCACAGCCACTATCACTAATTAACTACCACAGTCACTATCACTAATTAACTACCATAGCCACTATCACTAATTAACTACCACAGTCACTATCACTAATTAACTACCATAGCCACTATCACTAATTAACTACCACAGTCACTATCACTAATTAACTACCACAGTCACTATCACTAATTAACTACCATAGCCACTATCATTAATTAACTACCATAGCCACTATCACTAATTAACTACCACAGTCACTATCACTAATTAACTACCATAGCCACTATCATTAATTAACTACCATAGCCACTATCATTAATTAACTACCACAGCCACTATCACTAATTAACTACCATAGTCACTATCACTAATTAACTACCATAGCCACTATCATTAATTAACTACCACAGTCACTATAACTAATTAACTACCACAGTCACTATCACTAATTAACTACAATAGCCACTATCACTAATTAACTACCACAGTCACTATCATTAATTAACTATCACAGCCACTATCACTAATTAACTACCATAGCCACTATCATTAATTAACTACCACAGCCACTATCATTAATTAACTACCACAGTCACTATCACTAATTCACTACCACAGTCTCTATAACTAACTACCACAGCCACTATCAATGATTAACTACCAGTCACTATCACTAATTAACTACCACAGTCACTATCACTAATTAACTACCAGTCACTATCACTAATTAACTACCACAGTCACTATCACTAATTCACTACCACAGTCTCTATAACTATTTAACTACCACAGTCTCTATAACTATTTAACTACCACAGCCACTATCAATGATTAACTACCAGTCACTATCACTAATTAACTACCAGTCACTATCACTAATTAACTACCACAGTCACTATCACTAATTCACTACCACAGTCTCTATAACTATTTAACTACCACAGTCTCTATAACTAATTAACTACCACAGCCACTATCACTAATTAATTAACTACCACAGTCACTATCACTAATTAACTACCATAGCCACTATCATTAATTAACTACCATAGCCACTATCATTAATTAACTACCACAGCCACTATCACTAATTAACTACCACAGTCACTATAACTAATTAACTACCACAGTCACTATAACTAATTAACTACCACAGTCACTATCATTAATGAACTACAACAGCCACTATCATTAATTAACTACCACAGCCACTATCACTAATTAACTACCACAGCCACTATCACTAATTAACTACCACAGTCACTATCACTAATTAACTACCACAGTCACTATCACTAATTCACTAATTAACTAATGAACTACACAGTATCATTAATTAACTATATCACTAATTAACTACCACAGTCACTATCACTAATTAACTACCGCAGCCACTATCATTAATTAACTACCACAGCCACTATCACTAATTAACTACCACAGCCACTATCACTAATTAACTACCACAGTCACTACAACTACCACGAAATTTTAACTTCACTAGTCACTTTTGAAGTCTCAACACTTTTTGAAGTTTTTCGGCTGGACATTGGATCTCATTTTCTTTGTATTCTTAATCTAAATGTTAACCTCGCTGTTCACAATAAGAAGCTATCAACTTATCAATACAGATATAAACACCATCTAGTCACTGTAACTAACCTTTACCACCTCAAATCAATTCTTACTTTTATCATCAATAAGATTTAATTACCTTTAACTTCTGTTTTTAGTCCGATTCATTAGATGATTTCTACAGGTTTCAGGTACAAATCATCATACGCTCTCTGCCAGTATATATTACTATAACTTTGTGACTTGAGAATATTTGTTCAAAATAGATGTTAACAGCTGCATGCAATTCTTGGGTGTAAATAAAGAATTAACTAAACAAGAATGGTTGCCATGAATGAACTGTGGGGACGCATGGTCAACGTGGTGTCTCCGCCTATGTCCAACATTACACTGATACACCTGTCATTATCACCTGTGATTTTCACCAGTGACTGATAGACCATTTATTGATAGCAATAAATTGTCCCGTAACCGGACTCTCTTTAACGAGGTTGATACCTGTTAACACCTATAATCATCACTGACCCTAACCAACTGTCCCCGAGTGGTTCATAAGGATTGGTAATTGGCCTGTAATATGATTCTTCGTAACTGTGTAGACATTTGTTAACACCTGTGATTAACCTCAGCAATAATAAGCATTGACCAGACAGGTGTGATTAGGTATAACGAGCAATATATCAGATGTAACAGGGCCCACAAGAAATTGTATGTTCTATATAACAAAGTTTCTTGAATGCCACACAACATCTTGATTAATTGTATATATTGGTGGGTCTATAACACAAAGATGTCTATAGGAGCTGGTGGCTGCCATATTCTTGCTAATCTATGCTTTAGACAATAAACTGATTCAGAAATTTTCATTTTTAGATTTATATCAAATGCTTCAGGACAACTTACTATTGGGGTGCCTCTATCTAATTTGTTTGAAATTTTACAACCTTTTCCAGTTCTTATATAAAATGATTCAATAATGCTGAAACAACATCCTTTATCTCATGTACTTTGCAAACTGTTTAATTATTTTGATATTTAAGGTGGAACAGATTTGCATATCTTTTTCACACTGTACCTCTGATTTAATGACATGTCAAATATGATTTCAGGTGATAACAGTTCAATGTCCAACCATATATACCAGATGGGAGTGTTTCAACAGCATCTGTCTCAGAACAGTTAAATCATGTATTAGTCGTAAGTTTTTTGTCACAGAAAGCATTAACTAGTGTCATCCAATCAATGATACAAAGTTTTAAGCTAATTGACTTCCATGGGACAGTACATTGTGACCACTTATGTATGACATGGAAGAGATCACTAATTTGATCGCTTTTTACTTTTGTCATTTTTTATCTCATAACACTATTTTTCAACTTTAAGTGTACACAAGGATAAACTATAACCATTTCAATTCCTGTGATTTTTTACCATCTTGTACACGGTATCTTTCATTCAAATATGCTTCACACCAGTCATTTGAGTGCTGAATGTGACAGTATAGTCATCAAAAATTCAAATATTAATTTTTTAACTGGTTGTGATATCAGAATACCTAATCAATTACAGACTAAGTGTTATCACAGTCTTTCATTCAAACAAAATGGGTAGCCTTCGATTCCTAACTTATAAGGTTAAAACTTGAAGGTTGATGTAAGAACATTCTAATGGATATGATTAACTTTTAACCTTATATATCCTTGAAAGGGTCACTCTTAATAGGAAAATATGTGCTAGTCTTCTAATCCTGCTAACTATAGGCCTAATAATTATTTTGATATTTAATGTGTAATAGATTTGTATATACTTTTACACTTCTGATATTGTGACATGTCAAATATGATTCCAGCTGACAACAGTTCAATGTCCAACCGTATATACCAGGTAGGAGTCACCTCTCAATTTTAGTTCTTGGTTCTAGGGAAGTGATACATTTCAAGTTTACAACATGTAAGTTAAAATCCAAGTCTGGTATTAAACTTTAGTACATCAATTTCAGCACATTATAGAAGTTAATGTAGAGTAATTAACATATATGTAAATCAGTTATATTCAATGTCACATGTGCCAGTTACCTGTTTGATGACAAAATTCACACAGAGATAGTATCAGTTAGATAACAAAAGGCACAAAGATTCTGCAGCCACATAAAGCCCCTGTCAAAACCTCCATAGAACATTAAAAGAAGGTAAATTTCCAATCATTTCTAAAACACCTGACAACTCATACAACAACAGGAAGATTTGGAACAATTAGGAAAATAATGTTCAATTAGTGATGAACAAATAACTATGTTCTGTTGTAAATGCTACAGTGAGTTAAACAGTGAAAACTCAAAAACTTCACTCTACATCATATACATGTAATTGAATATCTCAATACTATGATAGCAGCAAGTCTTACTTACGCTGGTGGACAGATGTTCGTGTTGCAAGCAATAGTCTGGGTGGCTGGACGAAGGTTGGGGTCACAATTGTCAATCGTCACAATGACATTGGTGTTTCTTTTCATGCACACAACTTTGGTTTGTTGCTTTCCTGGAAAAACACACAAGAAAGTCATATTTATAACTCCATCTGGCATCATAATATCTTCAGTAAACACTAAAACACATGATTTAAGATTATCAGTTTTTGTTTTCAAAATTTCAAGGAAAGTGATTCTGTTATAATGTTGATAATGTTTATGATTGATTAGTGTATATAAAGTTAGCTGTTTCAATAAGAATTGGTTTTGTAAGAGAGGTCATCACATTTTCAGTTTCAGGGATGGATGGAGCCAGCAGCCCTATCTTAAATTTAGTCGCACCAAGGTTTCGCAACAATCCAGGAAAGATCTAATCCTAATGAGGCGATTGTTGCCAATTTCTGTTAATACCTCCTTGGTTCATTTAAGAACACTTAATTCAGTACGACATTTCCTTGTTTGGCTCAGGATAAAGCCCTGAAACCTCTGGCTTTATAGATAACATTCCACTGAATAAATTTAAAGATGGAAAGTCTACCTTACCATGTCCTAGTTAAAGCAGGCAGCTACTTTCAGCAAGATTATAATTTCTCAGTCAAATACTGAGTAGCAAATAATTTGATGAAATATTCCGAAAAAATGTTTTTCTTCTTGTTTTTAATTTGTAGAGAAGACTAATGGAGATTAATACAAACTACCAGATAATCTATAATTTTAACAAAAAAGTAACAAAGTACTTATAAAAGTGAACAGTATCTGTATCCATCATTAATTAAAACAACATACTTCTACAAAGCATTTCTGTAATAAAACTCTATGTACATTTCTGTCCCTGTACACTATATCCTAATGTCTGTTGAAAGCCTTGTATAAAATATGTTAGTCATGGAACTGAAGCTGGTTTGATGGAGAGCTTGTATCATTTATACTCACTAACACTAACATCTTGGGGAGTTTTTAAATAGAAGCCCTGATACAAAGTGTAATAAAAGTAGAAACAGTGAAATGAAGATTTTATAATCAGTATTTGTGAAGCTGGTCTGCTTTATGGTAAAACCTGTATAGCTACTATCATAAAAGTATTAAGGTAAAGGGGAGATAATTCATCAGCACCAAAGTATTGTTGCCTTAGTTGGCATGAATGTTTAAGAAATTGATTTATCTATATATAACCTTGATATATCTAATTTACATCAGAAATCTTTATATTAACAAATCAATGACCTAAATCTGATGAAACCAGACAGGTATTTAAAGTACTATCTTTAATTTTTCACTTTCATTATATTTATACATAGCACATATCTGTTAAATGTATAAGTGATATAGCGGAGCCAGAAGTCAGTCACATCGCCCACTGGCTACATCTTCAGTAGAGATATACATCAGCCCAGCCCCTTGGTCTGCTTAAACAATTTAAAATTTGGTTATTATTCCAAGTATTTGATAATTCCGTTGGTTTCTCAAGTCTGATAACTTGGCCTGACTCCTGGCACTCATGTGTTACCCTGAAAACCCATTATCCGCCCCCATTCATACTTGCCTAATACACCTACACTTTATTTCTGTTCAATATCAGAAGCCAGTCATTTATCTTTTCAAGGATAAACAATTTTGACATAGGTTTTGTGATTTTCACAACAATAGTTCAAGATATGTTAACATTTATTGAGAAAGGAAGAGTCAGTTAGGACGCATCAGCAGCACTATAAAATACACATTTAGCTGAAATACTATCCTATATTAACTTTTAACTACCAACACAATGGCTTCTGTAAGACTGCAAACACTTGTCTAATTGTATAACCCCTAATGTCTAGGAATGTTTCAATGGAGATCCTGCCGGTATGTAATGTCAGAAAGATATAGGCAGAGAAAGATTAAAAAAGTTATTTATGGACCATTTTTTAAATATTTACAATCAACTTTTTAGACACTGATGAACCTATCATAATAACTCTTACATTCCAGGAGAAGCATATGCTTTGAGCTTTTACCAGAAACAAAACCCATCTATTTAAGCAATCATTATGCAGATCACGTAAAATATTACATTCCATTAGTAATCGGTTAGTACAAATTAGAATGCCCTGCTTACATGAATCCTTCTGTCAAAAAATCTCAGGAACCTGGTTCACTTGGTTATCATTAGTTGTTTGGAGATTGTAACAAATTTGAATCCATTTGTCCAAAATAATTCATTGGAACAAAACTGATACATCTTCATCCTTACAGACCTTAATCCAAGAATGTTATTGGCCAATTCCTTATTCAGGAAAAATACACTGAAAGGCTTAACACATTTGACTCCTGTGACCTTAAACAAGATTCAAGGTCATTCATTTAAACAAATTTGAAAAGTCTTCACTTCAACTTGGTTCTTGTACAATTATCAAATTATCTTTGATCATTATCTCCTTGTAACAGAGAAAATTTTCTGTTTAAACCTCCACAGCAAAAGCTCAATTACTTGCTGGTCAAAACGAGTTATAAAATATTTGCTCAGATTTCACAGACATACTTAACCATCAAACATCATATATTTAACACAAAAACACACTATCATTCCCTCTAGATTTGCTAGGCATATGCTTTAACTGGAATAACAATCTGTGCTTAATGTACTTACAGCCTGTTAACAGGTAAATCAATGTCATTCACCAGACTATTGTAAAGCTGCTGAAATGTCTTAAATTGTCTACACTAGACTTGTCAAGAATTTGTGGAGAAATCATAATAAACTCATAAAAGGTATGTCATGAATACTATAAAATCATATATTTTTATGGGGCTAAATTTTCGTGGTTTCTCAAAAAAGCATAATTATTGAGACATTTGAATTCCTACATAAATATATCTTGATAAATCTACTTCAAACTTTCAAGAGTTTGTTGACATATGAATTCGTAGATTAAGAATACCAATAACATCACTGAAAAAAAAAATCCCACAAAAATGAATAATTTTAAAGTAACAACTAAAATATTCTGAACATCCTCAGCTGTTCCCTTTACTAATTGTTGCTTAAGATTCAATTTGGACAGAATCTATACCAGACGATTCAAGTTGATGGATGAATGATAGAGTGTAACATTGTGTAACTCACTGGCAGTTCGGACCAGGTGAGCTAACGAAAGCAGACTCTACAAAATTTTCAAATCTCTGTAAACAAATGAAGGAGAAGTTGGTCCAAAAGGTATCCAAACTGCACAGAGCACAAAGTACACATGTATAATTAAGGTTACAGAACTTTACTGGTGTCAGCTAATCCCAATCTTTATGTCACTGATACTGAAATACCTACATCATGGAGAGACTAGCAAATCACTCAAGCATGTAAGTAAAGGTCACCCTTACAAATGTCCCAATTTGTCAAATTCTACTGAAAATTATTTACCACCATAACAATCAGCTGTAACTAAATAAGGGGCAAAAATGATGCATTTTTTTCCTCTGGAATAAAGCTGGAGGGGGTAGTGTGTACTTTAACAAGGTTTTCTAGGGGTCATGTGTCACATTACTATATAAGCCAGGATATTATTGTAAAATAACCTGTCATTCTGACAAAACAGTAAATTAACCTCAGTGAGGTAATCCTATTTAGAAAACATTACTTTTATATTCATGTCAAATTCAATGGGTTAGCGTTTTGTGTGGAGTTAGGACTTTTGCAGAGGATGTCCATTAACACTTACAGTGTTAGACAAAGTATAAAGATCAGATAAGTGTGGACTGTTCCCTGACAGCTACTGCAAAACTAAACTTTAAATAAGATTACAGTGTTTAGTTAGGTGGTAAGAAGATGACACATCCAAATAAAGCATCAGATGTTTAAATCTTATTAAATGCAATAAAGTGTCACCACATCCCAATATCACAGAACTATCACATAATGAGATCACCATGTCCTAATATGAGAGCTCTTACATAATGAGGTAACCTAGGACACCATGTCCCAATATCTCACATATTAAGCTCACCTTGTCACAGTATCCCTATGCCAATTCTTACATAATGAGGTCACCACGTCCTAATATGCAGAGTTCTCACATATTAAGGTCACCTTGTCACAGTTACACTGGATTTGCATAAGTCGCCTCAATATGAGCTCGGACATAAAAAGTTCAACACTCCAAACATCACTTGAGCTCTGAGCTGAGGTCACTATGTCCAAATATCACTAAGCTCTGACAATGAAGTCACCATGTCTCAACAGTACTGAGCTCTGACCTTTTTTATGAGTTTGTCTAATGACGTCACCATATTCCAAATTCATTGACGTCACATGGGACCAACTTTTGTTTTTAAAAAGATCTTTTTTAAGAAACATCTAATAAAATTAAATATCATACATTCATGGTGTAGTTATATGAAAAGTTTCAATTGTTAGAGATGTGGTAGACCCTTGTAATATTCACCAAGTCAAAATAGTAAAAATTACTGTAAAATCTTTATGGGCCGATTCATTCATGGTAGGAAAGAGATTGAAACATCACAGGATCCTCAGTTTCACAGATGTGCATAACCACAACATCAAAACCACACATGAAAATCTAACCACAAACTCCCATGAAGGTGTGAATGTGTGATAAATAGGTAGTTTATAGGTTCAATAGTAATTTACTAGATGCTAGTGTTATCATGAACCTTCTAATTGGATATGAACCACATGTCGTGGTTTCTTCCTTCAGGATCTGTACAATATTGTGTATTACTCTGAGCAGTTTGTTTATAGTTCCTTCTATGTATAAGCTACTGATTATAGTGACTATCTTTAAACATCTAAATTTAGAAAATTTGTAAATATATCAGAACCTCATTGGTCAAAAACATATTAAAAACATTTTCTAATTTTCACAAAAATTTAAAATTTAAAACAAATCAGGTGTAATAGTCAATAATTACCATCTACTTCAGAGTGAGATTGAGGATAATTCTCCGAACGATGGGCCTTCGTTCTGGATGTACACAACAAATACTCTGCTATTTTATGAGATATAAAAATGGTGAACAAAGAAAAATAACCCTATATTGAAAGACACAGTGAAATGATTTCAATAAGATTAGCAAT